CATTTTTGTCCCAATTTTCCCCACTATTTCCCCGCCAGCTCCTGCTGCTCGCACTGCCACTTCTCTGCGCTGCCCGGAACACCAACATTCCCACTTTTCCAGGACTTTTCCCACTTTTCCAGGATTTTTCCCAGTTTTTTCCCAGTTTTTCCCAATTTTCTGGGATTTTTCCTGTTTTTTCCCCATTTTTCCCATTTTTTTCCCCATTTTTTCCCCATTTTTCTCTGTTTTTCCCCGCTATTTCCCCACCAGCTCCCGCTGCTCCCGCTCCCGCCGCTGCTTCTCCGCGCTGCCAAAAATACCAACATTCCCACTTTTCCAGGACTTTTCCCACTTTTCCCAGTTTTTCCCAATTTTCTGGGATTTTTCCTGGTTTTTCCTGGTTTTCCCGCTTTTTTCCCCATTTTTTTCCCCTTTTTTGTCCCAATTTTTGCTGCTATTTCCCCACCAGCTCCTGCTGCTCCTGCTCGCGCCGCCGCTTCTCCGTGCTGCCAAAAACAACAACATTCCAAATTTTCCAGGACTTTTCCCACTTTTCCAGGATTTTTCCCAATTTTTCCTGCTTTTTTCCCCATTTTTTCCCATTTTTGTCCCAATTTTCCCCACTATTTCCCCGCCAGCTCCTGCTGCTCGCACTGCCACTTCTCTGCGCTGCCCGGAACACCAACATTCCCACTTTTCCAGGACTTTTCCCACTTTTCCAGGACTTTTCCCACTTTTCCCAGTTTTTCCCAATTTTCTGGGATTTTTCCTGGTTTTTCCTGGTTTTCCCGCTTTTTTCCCCATTTTTTTCCCCTTTTTTGTCCCAATTTTTGCTGCTATTTCCCCACCAGCTCCTGCTGCTCCTGCTCACGCCACCGCTTCTCCGTGCTGCCAAAAATGCCAACATTCCCACATTTCCAGGACTTTTCCCACTTTTCCAGGATTTTTCCCAATTTTTCCTGCTTTTTTCCCCATTTTTTCCCATTTTTGTCCCAATTTTCCCCACTATTTCCCCGCCAGCTCCTGCTGCTCACGCTGCCACTTCTCTGTGCTGCCCGGAACACCAACATTTCCACTTTTCCAGGACTCTTCCCAGTTTTCCAGGAATTTTCCCACTTTTCCATGAATTTTCCCAGATTTCCTGGATTTTTCCCAATTTTTCCCCATTTTTCTACCATTTTTCCCCGCTATTTTCCCACCAGCTCCTGCTGCTCCTGCTCGTGCCACCGCTTCTCTGCGCTGCCAAAAACACCAACATTCCCACTTTTCCAGGACTTTTCCCACTTTTCCAGGACTTTTCCCAGTTTTTCCCAGTTTTCTGGGATTTTTCCTGGTTTTCCCCATTTTTTCCCCATTTTTTCCCCATTTTTTTCCCATATTTCCCCGCTATTTCCCCACCAGCTCCCGCTGCTCCTGCTCCCACTGCCGCTTCTCCGTGCTGCCAAAAACACCAACATTCCCATTTTCCCAGGTCTTTTCCCATTTTTCCAGGATTTTCCCAGTTTTCCAGGATTTTTCCCAGTTTTTCCCAGTTTTCCCTGGTTTTTTCCCACTTTCCCCCCCTTTTTTCCATTTTTTTTCCCGCTTTTCCCCACTTTTCTCCCCCCTCTTCTTCCCGATTTTCCCACCAATTTTTCCCACTTTTTTCCCACTTTTTCCCGCAATTTTCCCACTTTTTTCCACTTTTCCCTGTTTTTCCCTGGTTTTTCCCACTTTTTCCCTGCTTTTTTCCCACCATTATCCCAGTTTTTCCAACTTTTCCCACTTTTCCATCTTTTCCCACTTTTTCCCCCATTTTTCACGGTTTTTTCTTGCTTCTTTCCCACTTTTTCCCCACAATTATCCCACTTTTCCCTGTTTTTTCAAATTTTCCCCCCATTTTTCCCACTTTTTCCTACCATTATTCCACTTTCTTCCCGCTTTTCCATCTTTTCCCACTTTTTCCCACTTTTCCCCCTTTTTTTTCTTGCTTCTTTCCCACTTTTTCCTGCAATTTTCCCACTTTTTCCCATTTTTTCCCTGTTTTTTCCCAATTCTTCCCACTTTTTCCCATTTTTCCCTGCTTTTCCCTGCTTTTTTCCCCCATTTTTCCCACTTTTTCCCACTTTTCCCCACCATTATCCCAGTTTTCCCACTTTTCCATTTTCCCCACTTTTTCCCTGTTTTTTCCCAGTTTTCTCTTGCTTCTTTCCCACTTTTTCCCACGTTTATCCCAGTTTTTCCCACTTTTTTCCCACCATTATCACACTTTTTCCCTGTTTTTTCCCATTTTCCCCCCATTTTTCCCACTTTTTCCTGCAATTTTCACACTTTTCCTGTTTTTTCTTGCTTCTTTCCCACTTTTCCCCACTTTTCCCCCATTTTTCCACACTTTTCCCCCCTTTTTCCCACCTTTTTCCCACTTTTTCCCTGTTTTTTCCCAATTCTTCCCACTTTTTCCCATTTTTCCCTGGTTTTCCCTGGTTTTTTCCCACTTTTTCCCTGCTTTTTTCCCACAATTATCCCGGTTTTTTCCCGCTTTTCCCCACCATTATCCCGGTTTTTCCCACTTTTCCATCTTTTCCCACTTTTTTCCCATTTTTTCCCATTTTTTCCCCATTTTTCCCACTTTTTCTTTGCAATTTTCCCACTTTTTCCCATTTTTTCCCTGTTTTTTCCCACTTTTCCCCACCATTATCCCAGTTTTTCCCCTCCATCCCAGAATTCCCAGCCCCCCCCGGAACAAACCCAAAATTCCCGAGCGGGAAAATTCCCAACTCCCCACAAACCCCAAAATTCCAGGAGCGTTCCCAAAAAATAAAAAATTTAAAAAAAAAAAACAAAAAAAAAACCCCGGAATTCCCTCAAAAAAAACCCCAAAAAACCCAAAAAAAGGCGGGAAAAGCACAAAAAATTCCTGGGAAAAAAACCCCAAAAAAAGGCGGGAAAAGCCAAAAAAAATTCCCGGGAAAAAAAAACCAAAAAAAGGTGGGAAAAGCACAAAAAAATTCCCGGGAAAAAAACCCAAAAAAGGCGGGAAAAGCACAAAAAAATTCCTGGGAAAAAAACCCCAAAAAAAGGCGGGAAAAGCACAAAAAAATTCCCGGGAAAAAAAACCCAAAAAAAGGCGGGAAAAGCACAAAAAATTCCTGGAAAAAAACCCCAAAAAAAGGCGGGAAAAGCACCAAAAAATTCCCGGGAAAAAAAAACCCCAAAAATGGTGGGAAAAGCACAAAAAATTCCCGGGAAAAAAACCCAAAAAAAAGGCAGGAAAAGCACAAAAAATTCCCGGGAAAAAAACCCCAAAAAAGGCGGGAAAAGCACAAAAAATTCCCGGGAAAAAAAAAACAAAAAAAGGCGGGAAAAGCCAAAAAAAATTCCCGGGAAAAAAAAACCCAAAAAAAGGCGGGAAAAGCCAAAAAAAATTCCCGGGAAAAAAAACCAAAAAAAGGCAGAAAAGCACAAAAAAAATCCTGGGAAAAAAACCAAAAAAAAAGGCAGAAAAGCACAAAAAAATTCCTGGAAAAAAAACCCAAAAAAAGGCAGGAAAAGCACAAAAAAATTCCCGGGAAAAAAAAACCCAAAAAAAGGCGGGAAAAACACAAAAAAATTCCCGGGAAAAGGGCTCTGGAATTGCGAGGGATCCGGGAATTCCGGTACCTCTGGCCGGGGTCGCAGGGGGATCCTTTGCGCTTGCGGGATTCGGGAAGGGCCGGATCCGCGGAGCCGTCGCCGAGGCCGCTCATGGTGGGAATCCTACGGAAAACCTGGGGAAAACGGGAAAAAAAAAAACGGGAAACAAAAAAAAAATCTGGGAATTCTTGGGTTTTCCAGGAGGGAAAAATGCGGGGATTTGGGATTTGGGATTTATTTTTTGCAGGGTATTTTTTTTTCTTGGAATTGCCGAGATTTTTGGGGGTTTTCTGGGATTCCTGATATTCCCGGGGATTTGGGATTCCCAGGGATTTCAGGGATTTTCAATTCCCAGGGATTCCTGGATATTTGGGATTCCCAGGGATTTGAAATTCCCAGGATTCCTGGGAATTTTGGGATTCCCAGGAATTCCAGGCATTTTGGATTTCTGATACTCCCGGGGATTTTTCATTTCCAGGAATTCCCAGGGGTTTGGGATTCCCAGGATTCCCAGGAATTTGGGATTCCCAGGGATTCCGGGGATTTCTGGGGATTCCTGATATTCCAATGGATTTTTGATTCCCAGGGGTTTGGGACTCCCAGGGATTTTTAATTCCCAAGGATTCCAAGGATTTTCGATTCCTGGGAATTCCCAGGGCAGGAATTCCCAGGATGGAATTCCCAGGGATTTGGGATTCCCAGGATGGAATTCCCAGGGCAGGAATTCCCAGGGCAGGAATTCCCAGGACGGAATTCCCAGGGCAGGAATTCCCAGGGCAGGAATTCCCAGGACAGGAATTCCCGGGACAGGAATTCCCAGGACGGAATTCCCAGGATGAAATTCCCAGGATGGAATTCCCAGGGCAGAAATTCCAGGGACAGAAATTCCAGGGACAGAATTCCCAGGATGGAATTCCCAGGACGGAATTCCCAGGACGGAATTCCAGGGACAGAATTCCCAGGATGGAATTCCCAGGATGGAATTCCCAGGACGGAATTCCCAGGACGGAATTCCAGGGACAGAATTCCCGGGAATTCCAGGGCGGAGCCGTTCCCGGCTCTCCCAGGGCTGTCGGGAAGAGCCGGAGCCGGCATCGAGGGGAGAACTGGACACGGAACCGACCGGAACCGACCGGAACTGAACAGAACCGACCGGAACCAACCGGAACCGACCGGAACCGACCGGAACCGACCAGAACCGAACGGAACTGAACAGAACCGACCGGAACCGACCAGAACCGACCAGAACCAACTGGAACCGAACGGAACCGACCGGAACCGAACGGAACCGAATGGAACTGAACAGAACCGAACAGAACCAACCGGAACCAAATGGAACCAATGGAACCCATCAGAACCCAACAGAACCGAACCCATCGGAATCAAAGCCAATGGAACTGAACCCAACAGAACCAAACCCAACCCAACAGAACCCAACAGAACCCAACAGAACCAAACCCAACCCAACAGAACCCAACAGAACCAAATCAACCCAACAGAACCCAACAGAACCCAACAGAACCAAACCCAACCCAACAGAACCGAACCCAACCCAACAGAACCCAACAGAACCAAATCAACCCAACAGAACCCAACGGAACCGAACCAAACCAAATGGGACCAAACCAAATCCAGCGGAACCAAACAGAACCAAAGAGAACCCAACAGAATCAAACCAAATGGAACCCAGTGGGATCAAACCCAACAGAACCAAATGGGACCAAACCAAACAGAACCGAATCCAACCCAACCAAACCCAAACGAACCCAACAGAACCCAACAGAACCCAACAGAACCCAACAGAACCCAACAGAACCCAACAGAACCCAATGGAACCCAACAGGACCAAACAGGACCCAACGGGATGGAACCAGTGGGGATGAACCCAACCCAACAGAACCGAACCCAACCCAACAGAACCAAACAGAATCCAAGCAGAACCAAACCAAACCCAACGGAACCAGTGGGGATGAACCCAACAGAACCCAACAGAACCCAACAGAACCCAACGGAACCCAACGGAACCCAACCCAATGGAATGAAGCCCAATGGAACCCAACGGAACTGAACAGAATCAAACCCAACCCAGAAGAACCCAACGGAACCGAACCAAACCTGATGGAACCCAACAGAACCAAACCCAACCCAAATGAACCCAACAGAACCAAACCAAACCCAACCAAACCCAACAGAACCCAACAGAACCAAACCCAACCCAACCAAACCCAACAGAACCCAACAGAACCAAACCCAACCCAACAGAACCCAACGGAACCAAACAGAACCAAACCCAACCCAACAGAACCCAATGGAACCGAACCCAACTCATTGTAAGCCAATGGAACAAAAGAGAACCAAACCCAACAGAACCGACCCCAACAGAACCCAGCAGAACCCAACAGAACCGAACCCAACCCAATGGAACCGAACCAAACAGAACCAAACTCAACCAAACCCAACCCAACAGAACCAAACCCCATGGAACCAAAACCAACCCAAGTCAACAGAACCCAACCAAATCCAACAGAACCCAACAGGACCCAACAGAACCCAACAGGACCCAACAGGACCCAACAGGACCCAACAGAACCCAACAGAACTCAACAGAACCAAACACAACCCAACAGAACCCAACAGAACCCAACAGGACCCAACAGGACCAAACAGAACCCAACAGAACCAAACAGAACCCAACCCAACCAAATGGGACCAAACCAAACAGAACCCAAGGGAACCAAATCCAACCCAACAGAACCCAACAGAACCCAACAGAACCCAACAGAACCAAACACAACCCAACAGAACCAAACAGAACCCAACCAAACCCAACCCAACCAAACAGGACCAAACCCAACAGAACCCAATTGAACCAAGTCCAACCCAACAGAACCCAACGGAACCGAACCAAACCCAACAGAATCAAACAGAACCCAACGGAACCGAACCAAACCGAGTCAAACCGAACCCAAGAGAACCAAACCCTACCCAACCAGTGGGGATGAACTCAACCCAACAGAACCCAACAGAACCCAAAAGAACCCAACAGAACCGAACTGAACCCAAAAGAACCCAACAGAACCCAACAGAACCAAAACAAACTCAATGGAACCCAACCCAACCANCAAGGGAACCAAATCCAACCCAACAGAACCCAACAGAAGCCAACAGAACCAAACCCAACCCAACAGAACCCAACAGAACCCAACAGAACCAAACCCAACCCAACAGAAGCCAACAGAACCAAACCCAACCCAACAGAACCCAACAGAACCCAACAGAACCCAACAGAACCAAACCCAACCCAACAGAACCCAACAGAACCCAACAGAACCCAACA